CATAATGTATGCGTACATTTACAAAAGAAAGAAAATACATGAATACAATTTTGTGTCATGGAAAAGGATTTATTAGTGTAAGGAAAGGACCTTTAGGTTGATGCGCTCCAGATCCAGAAAGCCCTGTGTCCAGTCAGCTTGCGTATTGGGAATATAATGCTCTAACTCTATACAGAGATACTTCAAAGAACTGTTCTATATTATGTCCTCAGCTGTTGGTAATAGTGTAATAAGGCGTCAGTGGGTGGTTTGGGTTTTTTTCTGTAAAACTACAAACACAAAGTTACACTGCATTATGTTGTTCAGTGTTATTTATGTAAAAATATCTATGTTAAATTTCCTTAGCATTTAGCACTATTAAAAAGTTCTCCTCCCCATCAGTGAGGCATACTTTCTTTTGTTAAATGAGAAGAGCTACAGAATTCTGTGTGCCTTTAGACTTGACTGCCAGAACACTCAGTAGTATTTTTATTATATAATTGGCCTTGATTTCTTTAGCTGTATTTTCTGGTATGGTGACTCTCCTTCTACCCCTTTCCATAGGCTTTTCTTACAAGCTCCCTCGATTTTTTTCCTAAAGGTATAAATAATAAGCATTTGTATGAATAAAGTGCACAAAAGGAGCTTTGTCGTCATTTTTACTTTCTTCTCTCACCTTCAAGCCAGCCTGGATTCTTTACTAGTATATTTAAGCAGGGGAAAAATTCTAGGTGTGGCCATAGTGCATAATTATGGTTAAACCATGTGTGCATCTTCCCCACCTTTTCTGGAAGGAAGACAGAACTCCATTTTCAAAGTAAAAATTGAACAGATGAGAAGGCAACAGAGGGAGTGGTGTTTAATCCACCTACTTTTTTTGTAGTCACCATGAAGCTCTTTAAATGTTTATCTCTGCTTCATTTTGCTTTAATATAATTTTTTAAGTATAGGAAGTCTAAAAAAACTCCTGCAAAAAATAGTAATTCATTGGTTTATATAGAATCAGTCTTATGATTATTACTCATTTGAGCAAATAGTGCAGCTAATTGGTATTTTTAAAATCTGGAACAGGTTTGCCTCTGCAGCTGAAGAAGCTTGAGTTCTTTCAGGCTGCTCTTGTTAAGAGGTTCTTAATGTGGCCAAGATGAAATTTTTATTGCACAGTATTTTCCCTCTGAAGGGAAATCTTACAAAAACCTGAAACCACCATATTAATTTGCCATTATTTTATTAAGTGAAATCCTTTGATTTTTCATTCCCTGTTTTGGCAGTTGTTCTTGAATTAGACCTCCCCAACAACTAAAAGATTGAGCATTGGGGAAATCCAATGATGATGATTTTAGATTCATCTATGTGCCTTTTCCCTCCTATTTAATGAACCTAAGATGCTATCTGAGTATAAGATGCACCATTGTTTTATGCTAATATTTAAGAAAAATAGCTGCAAAGGAAACAGTGTTACAGTGCCTTATCAGAACTATTTTTTTTTCTATAATAATTGGTCACATTTATTGAACGCTCACAGTGTGTCAGGAACAGGATTGAGTACATTAAATGAACCACTTCTCACGCAGTCTTCCCAAAGACCTAATGCAATACATAGTATTCGATGCTATTATTTTTTTTTAACATAGATGAATTTTTTTTTAGATTTACTTAAACATTTTTTAAAATTGACTATTACTTTTATACATAAAAAAAGACAAATGAAAGCAAAATAAATTGTTAAGGTATTTCTAAAATTTTTTTCACGTTCGAGTCCGGTCACTTGGTAGACAGGTGGGAAGATGCAGCCTTGTTTCTGAGGTATAAAAAAAACGTGAAAAGAATGTATATGTTAGAATCCATGAAATATAGTATTCGTTTCTTAGATTCCAGGAATATTGGTTAATGGTGACAACTAAGATATATTAAAAATAATACCCTACTAATTATAAAATACTTTCGTATTTGGTATATTTTAATACTCGTAATACCTGTGAAGTTGGTAGGAATTTTGCCTCTGCACAGGTGGAAGAACTGAGCCTCTGAGAACTCAGGTAAAATTTTCCAAGGCCAAACAGATAGCAAACTGTAGTACCAGGAGTTGATCTGAGGTTCTTACTTGCCATACACCAATTAATTTTTCCTAGTAATAATGAAAACTAGAGGAGCAAAATTTTCTTTTAAACCAACTTCTTTATGTAAGGGAATTAAAGTTCAAAAACAAAACTCAGTGTTGACTGTGAAATACATGAACATGTAATGGACTACAGCTATAGGTCTTTTAAAGCAAGTTATCTCCACAAAAATAAGTATTATGGTAATAACCTCTTGATTATTCAAGATTGAACTGACTTGTTTTCCTTTTCAAATTAAACTCTAAACTGCCCATTATGTCTTTGTAGCTTCTGACATCAAGTGCTGTTCACAAGTGGGGTACTGAAATTCATGAAGGAATCTACAATATGTTGATGCTATTAATAGAACTGGTTGCAGAGAGAATAAAACAAGATCCAATTCCCATTGGTCTCCTGGGTGTGCTTACAATGGTATAGTATCTCTAAAATATGAAGTACTTTGTGTTTTGATTTTGTTTAAAATACCTACTGTCCTCTGACTTGTACTTAATAATGAGTGAGAATGATATTATCATTGAACATACTAACTTAGCTGTTAGGGTCCTTGCTTTTTATTTTAAAAGCACAGCAACCATTTTGTGTTTTCAGTTTTAAAGAAATTCCTTTCCAATTTTAATAGCTTTTCAGCTCCTTAGACTGATTGCATAGCTTTCCTTTAATGTCTCCCTGATTATTTACATGATAAATAGTTTCACATAGTTCATGTAATTTGCTTTCTGGCCTTTCCCCTGACTAGCGACAGTGGCAAATGAAGGAGATGCGCTCATGTTTTCCCTCCTGACGTCTATCTTCACGGCCTTGCTGCCCCCCAGCTCTACCAGCACTAGGATGTCTGAACATTGGCATCACTTTGCCTTGAGTGAGATCTCTCGTCCTGTTACCTCTTCTCTTCCCTCACAGCAGATGTTGAATAGAACAGAAGAGCACCACTTTAGTTTGCTGTCTGCTCCAGCTAAAGAATGTGGTTTATTGGGATATTTGAAAGAGTCCATTAATGAAGAAGCCCAAGGCCGTATTTTTATCCTCTTTTCTAATGCTAATATGTGTTGCTATAGGTAATAAAAAAAGCTTCTCTGTTCTCTTTGAATCTAGGCTTTCAATCCTGATAATGAATACCATTTTAAAAACAGAATGAAAGTGTCTCAAAGGAATTGGGCAGAAGTGTTTGGAGAGGGAAATATGTTTGCTATTTCACCTGTATCAAGTTTCCAAAAGGTAAACATAGTTTTATTTCATTTTTTTATAGAGAAATTTTCTGTGCTATAAAAATGACAATTTACATGGAAGGATTAAAACAGCCTATGAAAAATGACAAATATTCCATGTGGCTTGTAAAATTGCTTAACTTTTTTCAGATATTGCAGATTTCCCTATAGCTGTTAACTAACATCACGAAGAAGTTTATAGATTTGAAATGTTTAGTTAAATGGGAAATGACCGCACCGCATCATTGCCCTATTATTGAAATAGCAGAACTCCAGTTTAATGAGTGTCCCAGTTTCTTTGAGAGACTAGAGCATTTGAAATCATTTGAAATGTCTAATTATACCTAGAAGAAATAATCTATTGATAATAGTTAATCTCATGTATAATTTCTTTTAAATTCCATAAGCATAAACAATTTCGTTTTTTCAAGCATAGAACCAGTATCTTTTTTTTTCTTTTTAATTTAAAGGCCTACAATGTGCCAATAGCATTATACCCACAAGGACATGAGGAGTACGTAATTTAAATAATCTCTTGATCAAACACTGTTTGGTTTTTGAAAAAGAGTTGAAAGAAGTCAATTTAGAGATTAAAAAAACTTGTCCATTGCTTTAGCAGAAGCTGAGGTTTAGTTTAGCAATCATTTATTGAACATTTACTGTGTATCTGTCATTATTCTAGGTTTTGGAGATATAAATAAAATTTAAAAGTCCTTGTTCTTAATATAAAGAGTAATAAGACATGATTCCTAACTTACAGAATGGAGGAAATATGAAAAAAATTACAGTATAGTAAGCAATAGGTGCAGTTACAATGATACAGACTTATAAACTCCTAAAATTGCATATAGTTATGTCAAAGATTCACATTAAGAAACGTTTGGAAAAACCTTTTGAAATATTTTTCAAATTTTAATACTTTTTTTCTCCAACTTTTTATTTAGAATAAAAGAAATATAAGGGTTAATGGGGAAATTTTTATATTGCCATCTCAATTTCTATTTTCTTTTCTCATAGGAACCTCATGGATGGGTTGTGGATTTAGTAAATAAGGTATACAACTTTTATTAATATCATCATGTTTTTACTTTCTAATGAGATTTCCTAGAGTTTGGTATTTTAAGTAGATGACAACTATACAGAATAATCAGAATTTTTTCTTTAGGAGATGTGTTTTATAGTTCCTTCCTCTTTTTTGTACATGTTGTTTATACACGTGAACATCAACATTAGGACTTAGCATATCTCCTGTACTGTATCACAGGATAAAAATTATCTTTGTTATGACTCTCAAAATCAGTACTACAGAGCACATTGATAAGGTAGAATGTTAGCCTTAGTTCCTTACTTAAATTTTTAATGTATAGCATTTTAAAATGAATTTGTATCTTTTTTCTTTTCAGTTTGGAGAATTAGGTGGATTTGCAGCAATCCAAGCAAAGCTCCACTCAGAAGATATAGAGCTTGGGGTAAGATAAACTACTATATGTGTCTGATATAAAAGTTCACTTTTGGGGGGGCGTTAGTTTGTAACCCATGTCACATGGTCTGGACACATTAAATTAAATGTTATAAGTTAATCTTCACAGAGGTAGCTCCCATGGCTCTGATAACCACAGAAATGTTTATTACTCCTAATCATAATAATCAGATTTCTATAGAGGGTTTTGGGGTTGTTTGTTGTTTTTTTCCCCTCACTAATTTCCCCTTACATGTGGTATTTTTCTCTTAGTTAGTGGTGGTTACGTGAAATTATGTTGCTATTTAAGGATAGTTGCTAAATGTGGCAAGTATTTGTGTACATAACAATTTTATGCCTCAGTAAAATCAGAATTTATTTCATAGTACCAGGCACAAATAAAATATTTGAAGGTGGTTTAGTAAGCTTTTTGGTGTTACAGCAATTCATAGATAACAGAGGGTTATAACAGGAGCTGAGAATCATCCCTCAGGTGCAATACCATTATCTTTTCATGTCAGCTTCATTTTCTCAAAAAAATTGAACCTTATGGTTAGGGGAATAATTTCGTCTTTAATTTTGCACAGACTGCTGACCTGCTTATAACAGAGCACTGTATTCTGTTTCTAGTTAATTAATCATCAATTAAAAATTATGTACTATGTACTTGCCATGTATAAGACACTGTGCTAGAACAGAAAATGATGCGGTAAAATAATATACCCAAGTGACACAAATTGTGCTTAGAGTAGCAGTTATTTCTATGGGACCATGACTAACCCTTGGCCCTTCTTTGCATGAAGGAAATAACAGTCAAGAAGAGAGACTGGTGGTATGGTTAGTAATAGACTGACGCTTCCTTGCCACCCACTGTTTATCATTCAAGATCATGTGTATGCCAGATCATAAATACTTCTACTGACTCTGATCAGGGAGCCCCTTCCATCTTTCCTGAACATTACCTAGGTTGTTATGCTGTCATTTTGATCCCCATTGAATGGATCAAGTATGTTAAAAATTACCTTATTTACCTGGAATATAGTAGGTAGTGATTTAAAAAGCAAAACAAAACAAAAACCGGGCCGTCCGAGTGGCGTGATGGTTAAGAACTGGCTTGGGACGCCAGAGGGCCCCAGTTTGGATCCCACATATGAGGGCCAGTGACACTGCCCCCCACAGCTAAGATGCTGAACAACAGCTCAACCTGGAGCTGGGCTGCTGTGAGTCGCTGGTGACGGCGTAGGCTGCAGCCCCAATGGCAGTGGGTTGCCATGGGCTACCGTATGTAGCCAGCAGCCAGCGTGAGCGGCCAGCAGCCGCAGTGAGCGGCCGTCCAGAAGCCGGCGACTGATCTGCCTCGCCCGGGAAGAGCGCAATGATGGTGCCAACTTGGGCCAGTGAAGCAACGTCCTCCACAACTAGACTGAAGAACAAAACAACAGCAACTTGTCTGTTCCCCTTCCCCCAATTCCCCAGCACTGTTCCCATCCCCTCAATTCCCCAATAAAAATCTTAAAAAAACAAAACAAAACAAAAACCTATTCAGATACAGGATTTTATATACTTTACATGTTTCTTGAGAGCTGGCTCATTGGGTAATATCAGAAATTCATTTTTTAAAAAGGTTAGAATACTCACTAATGTCTTGCAGAGTTAATTTTTTAAAAAAATACAGAGTAGCCCAAAGTTTCTACTCTACTTGGATGAAAATTGTCTAAGGAGAGATATATAGGAACCTGGGCTTACTCTCATTATTTTAAAATGTCTTGAGGTTAAACATTCCTCCATGATTTTTCCCTTAGGTCAGACCATATTTCAGAAAAACTGTGTTGTTTGTTGCAGTTGATGTAGAATTACATTGTTTAGGTTGTATTAAGGAGATGACAAAATTCAGGCATAGGAAAAAGAGGTTCCAAAATTGAGACTCTAATTTTAGCAAACAAGTATAATAAAAATTTCACAATAAATGCCTGATTTCTGACCACTTAAGAAGGTGACTACATCCCAGAATAAATTTAGGCCATATTATAAGACTGAGTACAAGCAAATGTATTCATTTTACATTGACATTAAATATTTTGTATTTGAAAAAATACTGGGCAAAAAAAAATCACTCACAATCCACCAGTTAAAAATCCCTGAACAGAGTAAAAAATGAAAGTTGCCTTTCCTCCACCTTATCCCCACCCCACAAATATACTTACCTCCTCAGAAATGGTTACCCATTTAATACATAACCTTTCTGACTTTTTCCTAAATTTATATAAAAATATATCTGTACATATTCTTTTTCTCTTTAAGACTAAATTGTGATCAAGTTATACCTAATAGCATATTTTCATTTAACATTATATCGTAGACATCTTTTCAGGTTAGTACTGTCAGTGCTTTTAATGGCTCCATTGTGTTCCTGCAAATGTTGTACCATGATGCAATCATTTATTAATGGGCATTCAGTTATTTCTAAGTTTTTGCTATTGCAGAGAGTGTTCCATGTAAATTTGTCTTTGTATATGCAACCATTTCTGAAGGATAGATTCCTGGAACACAGGATTTCTGGGTTAAAGACTATATAACTTTTTAAATTATAATTGATAGTGCTAAATCTCTTTCCGAAAAGCTATTGCCAGTCATTACCCCCACACGAGCATTTCCTAATACTCCCATTAGTGCTGAATGTTTTCAATTTTTAATTTTCCAGTATGATGGACAAAAATATTGTTTTATTATTTAATTTGTAATATTCTGATTTCCTGTGAATTTCCTATTCATACTTCTTCTGTAAATTGACCTAGATATTTAGGTCTCTTTTGGGCTGTCTTAGTAGTTGTTAGGAATTCTTTTTATAAGTATATCAAAGCCATTCCTATTTTGTGTGTTTGTACATTTTTTTCTCCCAGCCTTTTGCTTCTCTTTTTTTATTTTTATTGATGATGTCTGTTTTGCTACACAGAAGCTTCAAAATTTTATGTAGTCATTATTTTCCTCAATGGCTTAAAAGATTCCTAACTTGCTTGGGGAATGTCCCCCTATCTCAAAAGGGTAGTAAAACACTCATTTTATATTTTATATTTCTATTTTTTTGGTTCTTGGTTCTTGAGTTTATTTAAATTTGTTTTTATATATTGTGTAAGGTAGAGACCCAATTTTGTTTTTTTCCAAATGGGTAACTAATTGTTATTAGAGCCTCTAATGAATAATTCATTTTTTATTAACTTTTTATTTGTTGGCTTTATCATATGTCAACATCCCAGGTATATAAGGATTTGTTCCTGGACTTCAGTTTTAGTCATTCGTTTTAATTATTGGTAATTCTGCTCAGCATCATTCTTTTCTCAAATTGTCTTGATCATTTTCATGTTCTTACTCTTCAAAATGTAGTCAACATTTCAGGTCTCCTGCAGAAAACCCCACTGAGATCATGTTTGGAATTGTGTTAAATTTATAGGTCAATGTGTAGAGAATTGACATTTTTATAGTACTGTTTCTTTTCACTAAAGAACATGGTATCTCCTCATTTATTTGGGCCTTCTTTTATGTATTTTTATAATTTTATGTATTTTTATAATGTTCTTTATGGAAGTCCTGAATGTTTTTGTTGTTGTTGTTAAAGGCACATTTCACTCTTTCCCCAACTGTTCCCCCCTTTTTCAAATTAAAATTTTTAGTATTTGATAATATGAACTTTAGAATCATTTCATCCAGTCTTCCAAAGAAGTTTTATTGGCATATTATGATTTAAATTACATTAAATTTTTATAATAATTTAAATGCATTGACATCTTTATAAAGTTCTTTTTATCGAAGAGTATAGTTTGTCTAGTTATTCTTTTGTGACTTGATCAAACCACTATTTAAAATTTTCTCTGATGTTTTAAAAGGGGGTTATTTAATGTTGAAAGAAGAAAACCCGCTCACATTTATTTCTAACCTTCATTGTCTTTTTTCAGGCAGTCTCTGCATTGGTGCAACCCTTAGGGGTGTGTGCAGAATACCTCAACTCCTCAGTGGTACAGGTAAGATTTTACATTTACTGTAAAAGGGGATCTATGACATATGAACAGTGTTATCTTTTTATCAGGTTGTTCAGAATTATGTCTAATCCTGAGTAACTTCTAGTGAAAATATTACCAGAAGAAAAATTTAAAAAATGATTAATAATTTAAGGTATCGATACCTCTATCATTTGAGGTTTTTTACCTTTTTATTTATCATTTCATCAAATGTAATTTATATATAATAGCATATATTTTTCTTCATTGCCTTATGTATAAAATAGGCTGCTTGTATTCCATCGCTCTTCACAGTATTATTTAAAGATTCAGGGCCATTATGTATTAAATTAGATCAATGTTGAACAATCCACTAGAATCGCTTACTGGCTAAGTCTCTCACTACTGAATAACAGCTTAACAGCATATCTTGTCTGATTTCCTGCCTCTGCATGTTATAAGGCAACAGGTTATAGAATAATCAAAGCTATGAGTGTTCAGTGTTGTAATGCTTAAGGCCTGATATACGCTCTTATTTCCTTTCCATTTCAATTAACGAGTTTTATTAAATAATATGTCATGTCGAAATACCTCCCAGTTATTATTTTCTTTATAAATAAGAGTGTGAAACCTATAGCTTTCAGAGATTTTTTTTTTTAATCATTATAAATGATTGGGGGCATTATAAATGTTATAAATGTTATAACATTTATAACAAATGTTAAAACATTATAAATGTTTTCTATGCACTATTCCTTCTTTTTAATACCTGATTTATCCTACTTAGGACAATTTTAACAAGAGAGATATGATTTTTTTTAGTAGGTTCTGGAAATTTCTGCTATTTCTAAACGTTAAATGCTTTCTTTAGATGTCAAAGTAATACTGCAAGATTTTCAAATGAAATAGAATGACTATTTCTTCATTCGGGATATTAAGCTCTTTAGAAACATCTGGTGTTCTTCAACTCATTAAGCATAAAAGTATAGTCATTAGTTGTGTAGCTGAAACACTTAAGACACAAAGAGGCAAAATGATTTGACTTTTTAATAATTTAATAATAAATATTAACTTAATAATTGGCTTTTTAATAACAGGTCCAGGATTCTATTTTTGAATGCATGTTCTTTACCCATGCATTACTCCATGGAAGGAGATTTAGCATAAATAGTCCAATTGCTAATTAATATTAAATTCTTTAGAAATTCCAGATTTTATATATAAGCACAGTGTACTTTAAAAAAATAAAAAAGTGTGTGAATTTCCAACCAAAGTATATTTAACTTCATCTTTAATTATATCAAACTGTCCAACCTTAAATTTAGCAATAAATTCATACTGTGAATTTATTCTTGCCATTTTTATATCATGTTACTTGCCATAAATTAAGAGTTGTCTGCCACTTGCTACTGTGTAAATTCTGTGCCTTGGCTTCCTTATCTGTGAAATGGTGATAATAATCATGCCTATCTCACAGAGTTACCGTGAGAATTAAGCAGGGCTGACAAGAACAGTGTGACTTGACTGTTATCCTAACAGCCCTCAGTCCTTCCTCACTGTACAATTGGCTTAAGTGTAAATGAAGAAATTCTATTGGTTAATGGCCTGATGTCATTTTAATTCATTGCTAATGTCTTCTTGGCTTTGACAGCCAAATATTGTTAATCTTTTCTCATCACCAGATAAGTTTTAAAAGTTATCTTACTTGTATAGAAGTGATCATTTAGATCTAGCTTTCACATACTATTTAGAGTTAGTTATCTGATTATGCTACCATCCTAGAGCAATGTGTTGTATGAGTCTCATCTATAGGCCTCATTTATATCAGCAAGCAAAATTAGTTCATATAACAGCATGTTTTCCGTGGTCTGCTTATATTTATTCTTTTTAAATCAAATGTAAGATATTTATTATAAAAATAATACATACTGATGCTTAATGTTTAAAAGTTAGTCCATGTGTCTTTGATTGCTTTTTAAAATTAGCCTTAGGAGATAGTAATGACACATGTTGCACTCGTCTGTTATTAAAGAAGCTGAGACACAGAATCAATTAAGGGTGACTTTAGATGGTGTTGGCTAGTTAGTGGTGATTCTGATACTAGAATTCAGATCTTAGTATTGCAATCTCTCCTTTGTGAAATGTGAGCGAAGAAGTATCTCCTCTCTAGTTTTGGGACAGATTCAGGAGTTTTTATTAACTGTAGCGCTTTTTGTCTGCAGCCCATGCTAGACCCAGTCATCCTTACTACAATTCAGGATGTGCGGAGCGTGGAGGAAAAGGACCTCAAGGACAAGGTAAATGCTGTCTCCAGCCAGGTAGGCCCCAGTACCTGTTAGTCCGTGGAAACAGAGCCAGGACTTGGGACTAGGTTCACACCCTATCGCTCTTTGGATTCTGGTTACATACAACTTACATCAAATTAATTTTACATTTTATCACTGAAAAATGGCTTCTTCCAAAGCACCAGTGGTTGGTGTTACCTCAGTCAATAGAATGAGTATAGGGTTCTCAGTGATGCCATTCAGAATTTTACTAACATGTTGGTTTTGATAGTATAATTTGTATAGCATTGGAAAAGCTTCAGAATAATTCAAAACTAAAAGTTTATCCAGTTTAGAGCAATATTAACATTTAACATGATTTATTTTGTCTACCTTCAGTATCTCATAGGACCCTTCCCTTTCCTTTGCTCTCCTATGTCCTAACTTATTTAGAAACAAAATTTAGTTAATTGACCATATGGGGTATCAGATACCACTAGACCAGGTATCAGCAAACTTTTGAGACAGAACATACCCAAAGAGCCGCATGTGGCCCACGAGCTGCAGTTTGCCAACCCCTGCACTAGACCATTGTTTATCAAAAATGTCCTGTGTTTCCTATGTGTGTGTAAGAATTGAGATCAGAATGTTTTCATGGTTCCTTTTTTGTTTGTTTGTGTGTGTGTGTTTAATAAAAGAGATTGGTTAGCATCCCCGAGCTCTTGTCTGCCATTAAGTTACTTTGCATGCGCTTCCAACCGGATCTGGTGACTGTCGTGGACGACCTTCGACTAGACATCTTACTACGCATGCTGAAATCACCACATTTTAGCGCTAAAATGAATTCCCTCAAAGAAGTAAGTTTTGTATTTATTTCTAGAAGACTTAAAGCACAGACACTTTAAGTTATACCAAAACTTATGGTTATGAATATAAAAATGTTGGGAAATAAAGAATAATTTATTGTAATCATACAAAAAAGATATACCAATGATTATATATAAAATGGTGTATATGTTTACAATTGTCTGTTAATCAAGTGATCTTTTTATATGTGTTACGTTCAAGATTCATTCTCTGAAATATTTAGTGCTTTTGTGAAATTTCCTAGAACATAATTTCTTGGCATGTACAGTTTGAGATTTATTTTTTACCCTGATGGTACGATTTCTTTATTCTATTTCAGATATGTGTTTACTTAGACCAAATTCTCTAACTGGGGTTGGAACAAAACCAAAATGACTACAACTGTGATGATCTAAGCAAAATGATAGAAATAATTTTCTGTAGCTTCCTAAACTTTTTATGAGCATAGTTGGTTTTGGTGAGTGACAGGTGGAACCAACACAGTTCAGTCATAATTCCAGTTATTTTTTCCTCAGTTTTGCATTAATTAGGATTTTTAGCTGTAAGTAAAATTAAACTCATCTTAAGCCATCTTAGGCCAAGAGAGGAATTTAATGGAAGAAGTTTGGGCTATTTCACATGAATGAAGGGTTGACTGGCCAAACCATGTCAGGGCAGGGACATGTGTGGACAATAGGAACAGTTAGAATTCGAGACCTGACCACTGCCAGGACTCTTAAAGTTTTATCTCTGCTTTTCTGATCATGTTGGCTTTGTTTGCCCTCTACTAGCAGAGTGACAGCTTTCATCCATTAGACATGGCCATGGATAGTTTCCATCCTCAGGGAAGAACTAACACTTTCTCCCTGGTCTCAAGAATAGAATTTGGAGGACATGCCTTGATTGAAGTTTGGGTCAGATGCTCATCCCTGAGCCAGTCAACAGTGGCCCAGGGAATGTGAGCTCTAAGAATGGCTTTGTGTATAAGAGACATCATAAATAAGTAGTCAGTTAACTTCTAATAACTGGCCTTTGGTACATTTTGGCTGATTATCAGATCATATTGTAACACTGTAAAAGTCACAGAATAGATATAGATATAGATATAAAGATTTTGATTATCCATATTTGCATTAGATTTAGTCACAATAATCCTGTCTTTTTAGGTAACCAAACTAATAGAAGACAGCACTTTATCCAAATCTGTGAAGAATGCAATAGATACAGACAGATTGTTAGATTGGCTAGTTGAAAACTCAGTTCTGTCAATTGCATTGGAAGGTAAGTTGCTTTAAAAAAAAATAAATATTGCCTCACATACTTATGAATGATATATTTATATTTAAAAATTGTGAAATTGTTACTTTGACTGTATTAGTCTTTAAATAATCTTACAGAAAGTTAATATTGCTTTGAATTACTAGAATCGTATTTAGAAAATCAGTGTTCACTGTGTCTGCCTGTCCCTCTGGTGTTTCTTCTCTTAGGCAACATAGACCAAGCCCAGTACTGTGATCGCATAAAGGGAATCATTGAACTCTTGGGCAGTAAATTGTCTTTAGATGAGCTCACTAAAATTTGGAAGATACAGGTAAGTTGATCAGAATTATTTCTGCCTTTTTCTGACATTTTTGTCATAAGGAGGGGAAGGAGGTAGAGAATGAGCAGGGAAATGGAACTTCTGTCTTCCTTTAACCAGGCAGCTTGACTCAAATCTGTTTTACAGTTCAGAGTTTTTATTAAGATTGTATGTGTGAAAAGGATTCTACTATTTAAAAGGTATAAAACAACTGATCTATCTATAGTCTAGTCATCATTTTTCATGGTAGTTAGTGGCAGAGCTAGAAACAGTTATGTCTTTTGTTTATCAGTCCAGTGTTCTTTTCACTACATTGTTTATCAATTTTTATTAATAAGTTTTCCCCATTTAATTCTAGTAAATGAGGATGATAGTAATACTTACTGAGTTTACAGATCTCACCTTACAGGGCTCTCAGCAGCTGTGACAGAATCGATTGTACCTTTCATTTTCTTTTTCCTTCACTTTGTTAATAGTCCATTCTACTAGTTTTCCTCCTACTTTTGTGGCATTCCTTCTTAAGTCTCCTTTACTAACTTATTCTCTTCTACCTTGTAAGCATGAGTTTTTTTCAAGCCTTAGTCTTAGCTCCTTTTCACTAGATAATCTTTCATTAGTCAGTTTCATTCACTCCTGTAGTCTTGACTACATTTGGGGGCTGCTGACTCTCAGAATTGTGTCACTAATTCAGACCTCTTCTTGGAGCTCCAGTGCAGTATATCTAAATGCATAACTATTACACTTATCTCATACGCATCTCCAATTCTGCATGTCCAAACCTAGTCATTTTCCAGACTATTTCAGTAATGGTATTATCCTTCATTTAGTTGCTAAGACAGCAAGAAGCCTGGAGCTCACCTTGACTGTATCCACTTAATCACTGTATCAGTCAGAATCTCGTCAGGAAACAAAAACTATGTTAGGTATTTCAGAGAGAATGGAATACAGGATATTGTTCACAAAGGTGTTGCTAGTGTGGGAGAGCAAAAAAGACAAGTAGGAATGCTGGAGGAGCAAAATGGAAAATGGGTGTTAAGTCCAAGGAAAGGAAGCTGCTTTTTAGAGGTTCTTTCACTGCAAGTGCTGCAGGTGATACTGCCACCAGGGCTTCTGGAATTCCTTGCTGTCACAAATGCCAGCACCTGCATCCAGTTTCCTAGTATAAACCAAAAACGCTCCTTTCTTCCTCCTGCCTGCTCATCTCCCAGCAGTGCCTCTCACTGATAGAGCATAATGGGAGCACAGCTGGCAGAGGAAATGTAATTTGCAGGCTCCCAGCCTGGCATTACACAGCAGACTACAGAAAGTTAGGTGTAGGACTGAAAGAAAACAGTCCTGGATCCTGTGAATTTTACTTCCCATGTCTTGACCTTAGTTGAATACTCTCATATAATTTTGTTTTGTGAGTATACGAGGTGTGATCAAACAATACGGTGAATGTTTAAATAAAAAAAATTATTGCTGTTAAAGACTCATTGCTATTAATTAATCCCCCTCGCTTTGAACACTTATCCCATCGTTCTTGCCACTTTCTGAAGCAGTTCTGGAAGTCCTCTTCTGTGAGTGTCTTTGGTTGTGCTGTCGTGGCTGCCTCGATGTCCTAAATCATTTTGACTTTGGGAAAGAGCCAGAAGTCACATGGTGCCAGATCCGGTGAAGAAGGTGGATGAGGATGCACCGTAATGTTTTTATTTGACAGAAATTGCCATATACCAGAAATAATGTTAACACGGAGCATTGTCATGATGGAGGATGATTTACGACAAACTTTAAAACACAGCTTCTCTCAACTGTAGCTCACATGCAATTGACTGCACCGAACAAGTTGAAACTTGTCACACTCTTACTAACGTTTGATGCGTCGCTTCTTGTATTAAAGATCCCCTGCCTTTCCGTTGGATGACATTCAGCAGCAGTACTGTATGTTTTGATCACAGTGGAAAGGTTCTGTGTCACACATCACTTCTGGTATACGGCAATTTCTGTCAAATAAAAACATTACTGTGTGTCCTCATCCACCTTATTCACAGGATCTGGCACCGTGCAACTTCTGGCCCTTCCTCAAAGTCAAAATAACCATGAAAAGAGAACATTTTGAATCGATTCGGGACATTGAGGCAGCCATGACAGCGCAACTAAAAACACTCACAAAAGAGGACTTCCAGAACTGCTTCAGAAAGTGGCAAGAACGATGGGATAAGTGTGTTTGAAACAAGAGGGAGTATTTTGACGGGGATTAATGGCAATGTGTCTTTTTACTATAATAAATTTTTTTAAATTTAAACATTCACTATTTTTTAATCACCCTCATAAATTGTGAATCCACATAGATTGAGGATTAGAAACCATGATATAGGTTAAATATCCCTACTACATTCATTGAATGTTTGTGAATAGTAGATACAGAGCAAATTCTTGTAGAATTAAATCTTTAAAATTCCCCCTGCCTTTCAAGTTTCTCACATGGTGAAACTGTGATTGAGGTTATAAAGTGAATTTCAACCATTAGGTCGACCATGGGATCTATATCTGTGAAGCAGAGACTTACTTCCCATGGGATAAATAAATTAATTGAAGTCATAAAATATCTATAAGCAAAATAAAAAATGAATCAGATAACACTCTCAACCAAGGTCATCATGATCATTTATGAAATGCCAAAAGTGAGTGTCTGTCCTGTAATGCAGTTAGTTTAATTTTTTTTTTTTTTTAGCCAGTTGAAAATATTTTGTTCTCTTGAAATGCAAATGTCAGATTGAGAATTTGATTCTCATCTTTTTTTACATTGTATTTTTAAAGATTTAATGCTCCTGGGAATTTAAACCAGACCAACTGATAACCATTCATAATGGTTGCTTCATGTAGTTTTGCCAATATTATCATGGAAGTGAATGCTGATTAGACAAGAATCAACTTATCTGTATTACTGTTTTGCTTTTGCTTCTATAAATTGCCAAGGAGAATACTTAGATTTTTCCAAGTTCTAAGACTTAACTTTTTCCTAATGTCTCCTTTTTTAGTCAGGACAATCATCTACCGTGATCGAGAACATTCATACTATTATTGCTGCAGCAGCTGTCAAATTTAATTCAGATCAGCTTAATCATTTGTTTGTTCTCATTCAGAAGGTATGTGTTCAAACATGCTTACTCCTAAGTTTTTCTAAAATAAGCTTATTTTGAGGTCTCCTGCATCTAAATTAGTAGTGCTTAAGTGTTCCCTTCTTACTTTGTTAAACTTTTTTCGCCCAAGTTTAAAGTTTTTGCATATTTTGCCAGTTTGATAAAATTGGGATAGTACAACAACTCTTGTGTCTTGTCTTTTCTGTTCTACAGAGCTGGGAAACTGAGAGCGATAGAGTAAGACAGAAGCTATTGAGCCTGATTGGACGAATAGGCCGGGAAGCTCGCTTTGAGACCACTTCTGGAAAGGCAGGAGAATCAAAAAATGAATTTTTCTAGCTACAAATACTTAAAGCAGTTTTACTTGCATATTGGCTGGCTCATCATAAGTGGTATTATTGTAGGTGTTAGATGTACTCTGGGAACTGGCCCATCTTCCAACGCTGCCCAGTGGCCTTATTCAGCAAGCCTTGGATGAACACCTGACAATTCTTAGTGACGCATATGCAGTGAAAGAAGCGATCAAGAGGAGCTACATCATCAAATGCATAGAGGACATTAAAAGGGTTGGTTTTATCTTTGGTTTGGTTTTGTTGTCAGAGCGATAGTACTGAGGAATTAGAGCCAATTCATTGTCCTCCCCTATTATGTAATTTAAACTAAATATCTTATCTGGAAGCTCTTACCTTAGAGTCCAAGATTGGGAAATTTTAAGCACTGCTTTTACCAAGTCATTTATATTTCTCTTAAAATTAATTTTCAGCCTGGAGAATGGTCAGGTTTGGAAAAAAACAAGAAGGATGGATTCAAGGTAAGAATTTGCAGATGGAACCAACTAAAAGGTATACTAATTTAATAATTCCTTTCAATAAGTTGCATCATATTTTTAAGAGGATATGTTTTAGTGCTGCTTAGAATAATGTGCAGATACAAACTACTATTTAGATATTTATGACCTACGCTTTATTATTTAAAGCTTGGGAAGTTATTGACTCTGAAAGGGAAAAAACAAAATCCAGAGTCACATTCAAAGAGTAGATTTACTATATTATTCTCATAAAATTATAAGACCTTCAACTTAGTCTTTTTTTTTTTATAGTAATTCCAAAACATGCATAACTTCAGTAAGTTACAGTGGATTCTAAATAATATCATGCCCATTTTTCTCCTATAAGGGAGAAATGGAGGAACATTCATAGAGTAAGAAGAGAGAGAAAAAGGAAGAAGGAGGTTCATTCAGTGCTGGCTGTAGTCGTTTCTCAGATGCTTGACTCAGATGTGTTCCTAACGTAATTCCTTAGACAGCTATTGAGTGAGTGCCCTCTGCTGGGGCTCAATTTTAGAAGGTAGGCTTGGGTAGTGACTGCAAGAGCGACCGGCCCTGTGCAAACCCTCCCCTTCAGGGTTCTGGCCTAGGGGTCGCAGTGGACTTTTGGACTGTCCTTTGAAAGGGTGGTTAGCGTAAGCAGTGATGACTGTTGCTATCCTGTTGTTCCGGTCCTTAAATGTCAGGTCTCTCCTCTGAGAGGACTAGTCAAGTGGCTGCTCTCTGGAATGCGAGCCCATAGTCGCAGCAGCCCTGATCAGAGTGGTGGTGTCCTCCTCCCACGGGGGCCCTCGGGCTGCCCAGACCAAACGGAACGCCTAGCGGCCACGGCGATTTCGTGTTACTATTAACATTCAAGGTTTTGGTAAATAGCTAGTGGCTTAGTGCTTTCATTGGTAAATCATTTTTCTTAGCTTTCACTAAGAAGTATTTCTTTAAAATCTTGACGACTACTGATTGTCATTGGTATATTCAGAGACTGTCAGCTCTTGTTAAGAGGCTTTGGTGACCCAGTGGGCTTTCATTTTCTTATGGTATATTTGGTCGTAAAGTTTAGTTGGGGGCATTTAAGAACTTGGTGTTTTGTATTTGTGACATTGAAATTTGATCGAGTGGATTTTCTACATGTTATCTAGCTTTAGAGATTTTAAAAGTCATTCATGAACTGGAGCTGGTTATGCTCAGGTTATGTAGAATTAGAATTACTCCTTTAAATCAACAACATTGCTCTCTTTCTACTCAGATACAATTTGAATTTTTCCAGTTTTCTCAGCTCAGTGATTCAGATAATTTAGCAGCCTCTGTCTTTATGATTGGAACTCATCCAGTTATTTGAGAAGTTTAGATCCTTCAATAGTAATAGTAAGTGGAAAAGGGTATCTATAGAAAAATGGTCTTTTCTTCTTAGTAACAGATGTATAGATAAGAAAATCAAAACCGAAGAGACTTTTTCCTCCCTCTGAGGAAATGGTTTTTGAAACCAGAAAATCCTTCCTGACCTCTGTTCCTTCCTTGTCACAGCTAAGCATTACTTAGCTCTTCTAGCCAATAGCATCGCTACATCTTTATTGCTTCTCTTTGCAGTCACTTCATTCATGTCTGTTGTTTTATAACAAGACTCAAAAAGTAACAGGGAGAATTTTGGAGTCATTTGTGAGTCTCGAAAGGAACATTCTTCCTTTTTAATTTCCCACTGCTCCCAGTAAAGAAATTCTGATGTGTCATTATTTCATCCCAAATAATAATACCTTGCATTTATATAGCACTTTTCAGTTGACTTAAGTGCTTTCTCAGATGCTCCTTTAAAGCACACATGACTGAAGGGGGGCAGTGGGAAGATCGAAGCCCCCTGGATATGACTCCAGGCAGGGAGGTGAATTATATACTGCCACTAAAGGTGTTTTTCTATGCTATGCCCTTTCCTGCCAGGCAGCAAGGTGGGCTGACTGGGGATTATGTCTCCCTGCCAGGCTACACAGAAACTAAGCAAAGGGTAAGACAAGATCACCCACCTCACTCCCCTCCCACCCTCAGCTGCCTCTGTTCCCCTGACTGATTCCTTTCCCTCTGCTTTGGACACTCTTACAATTCCCAAGTTCCACTGTTGTGCTCAGAAATTCTGACCTTTGTTTCTGACCTTTATTTCTGTAGATTCCGTCAGGATACCCTTGGCTTCCTTGGTCCTCTTTCCTTTGCTTCCTTTATACCTTCCACTGTCTACCCCAACCCTTTCCGTCTTATTTGACCTCTTTTTTCCTTCAATTAAAAAGTTTAAATGTACTCATCAAAAAATAAAATGACGAAACCAAAAAAATGACTTTTACTCAATTAGTGGTGTTTGCATATTCCTTAAGTCATTATCTTAAGGCGTCCTAGCTCAGTGCCTGGCAGCCTTTCAGTAAATGTTGTTCCCTTCCTAGTACTTCTTCCCCTTCACTCTACCAGGATACTAACATTGTTACATTCCCATAGATGAATGACCTCTACTTGCCAAAAAATGTAACTGAAAGTAAAAGTAGCAAGATGTCCTCAGTACAGTCTCACAGTGACATGGTTAGCACAGGAAGAAATACTTCTTTAAAAATGTTCTTCCATGTAAAAATCCTTACTTTGATTCTAGATAAATGGCTAGGTATAGAAAAAGAAGACAGATGAGATGAGCAAGGGGGGATGTGCAGCTTTGAGAAACAAGAACTCAAAAGAGTATGAAAGCTTTCTTCAGACACTGAGAGGATTGTTATAGAGAAGCTTTATTTAGCTTACTTTTTATGTCTCCTAAGAAGTTATGGGAAGGAGAGTTTCAGTATGATAGATTAATGAACTTTAGTGAAAACAGCATGAAGTAGAATGCAATGCCTCCTGAGTCCCTCATCACTGGAAATAACTAGGATGGATACTAACTAGTCATTTAACAAAAATGAGTAAGAGGAGTTTAGGCATCGATTTGCAGGCCAAACCAGTTGACCTCTAAGGCTTCATCTAATGTTAAAAGACTAATTTAGACATACTATTAACTCCTACTTATGAAACCTGAGCTCCATTATTATACATGATCAGATATGTTCATTTCAATTGTTCACCATAGTCTTCTGCCCCTTTTGTGAGTGGAGAAGAGTAATTGAAATTTGGCAACATAATGTCATAGATATGATGGAATCAGTGATAGCTGTCCTGTTTACTAAACTTTAGAAAGGCCATATGAGAAATACGCACTTTTTAAATTCCAATTTTATGTTTTTTCTTTTAATTTTATTTGATAGTGAACTACCTTCAAAGTATAACTTTGAATGTTAAATAAAAATATTCTAACTATAATTGACGTAATTGGTCGTAATGGTATTTTTTAATATACCTGATTATTTGCTAAAAGGTTTATATTTATATCCTAATGTTTGTAATCCTTTTGGAAGGTATCAGTTTAGACTTAAGCCTTTGCGTTTTAATCCCTGTCATTATGTAACTTTTATATTTTAGCAGAAATATTCTAGCTGTTCTTGCAGATAGTTGGCCTTTAACACATACCTTATTTCTCTGATTCTAAGATGCTAGTGACTGTAACCTGCATCGCAAACCTAATAAGTTTATAAAGAAGGGAAAAAGAAACTACATTTTACTTTTACCATTCATGTGATTAGATTCACATTTAAGAGTTTCAGTCTCAGTTTCCTTTTGACCAGTATGTACAGCTTCACTGTGGAACACAGCTTTTCATTATCAGTCAAGTAATGTTTTTGACCTCTTTGAAATCTTTTAAGATTGACTATCTAATTTTGAGGCATATTGAAGAATATGGAGGTTTGTGTCCTTGTCCTTTCTCGTAAAACTCAATCTGCTTTTTCCCTTCATAAAATTGTGTATACTACAAGTTAAACGGCTTCTCTGGAATTAGGTGGAACTTTGGACAGAGACATTCAGTGCTGAGTGATATAGCCCTTCACAGGGTCTGAGTCTGTCACACCAAATCCCCCTGGCTGAAAAATGCTATGGTTTGTGACCACCAGCAGTTTTCTTTTCTTTTAATTGAATTGGCGGACATGACAATAGCATAATCTTTTTGTAACAGATCAGTGATCTCAATTTAAGTTGAAAAGCCTTCCTTGTTTGGTGTTACCTATACCAAGTAAAAAATAAAATGGCAGGCAGATGAACAAGTACCCTTTGTATACAGCTAAGCTTGTACATACTCAGGTAAGGACAGCTGTATCAAAACTTACTCCTATGCCTAGTGGCTAGTAAGTTTCTTTTGACATAATTGTAAGAAGTGTCAGTTTCAAAAATGTAGAAATTTAAAAAACCTGTATCTTAGAATCCAGGAAATAATGGTATTTGCTGATTGGCTAATCTCTAGGAAATCCAGTATGGTTTTAGGAATAGCTCTCATATTTACATATTCAAGTAGTTGGTGGTGTTTTTCTACAAAAGACATAAAAAGTGTTTTTCCGCCCCATAGGGTTCTTCATTTTACAGAAAGATTTGAAGAAGCTAGAAGGCTTAAAAAAAAACACAAAATGTAGCCTTTAAAATAAATGTTGTGTTTAACCTGATATTCCTAAAAATTTTATGAAATCTCGTAGTTCGAACATGCTATTTGTTAAAAAGCAGTTTTCCTTTTAAAGATGAACATCAGACTTTTCACATAGGTACTATGAAAATCTGGGTTGTCCTGTACCAGTTTCAGAAATAATACATTTGAAAGTGTTTTGAAAAACATAAAGTGTAAGTGTAAAGTGGCTGTAATAATTAATAAAAATAGAATTATCTTACAATTGTTTTAACTAGGAAATACAAGCAGATCATGAACATTTTCTTTAATATTTAGACCATTCTCAGTAGCTTGATCATATCATTGGTATCTTAATCATATAATTATAGACAACCACATTTTTATTCCATTTTACTGCTCAGCCAGTTCAGTCTTATCCAAGTTCAACTTTTGCCATCAGTTTATTTTATTATGTCAACATGCCTAGCAGCCTGTGCTACTTAATCTATCCTCTGAAGTTGCTAATTCCTTGTTGTCTGTTTTTTGCTGATGTACCCCTGTACATTTGCTGTCACTTCACATCCACTCCTGTTTGCAGTTCGTGACCTTAGGAATAATTGCATGCAGAATAAGAAGTTGAAGACTAAATTATAAATGCATGGAGATGAACTCTAAATGAGCAGTGTGAGGAGAAAAAGAATAGAATGTGTAATAATGAAGCCTAATTGACTTGGAAATTTTTTATAGCTAATAATTTTGTCTGCCATTTATTTCTAAATTTAATTAATGTAACTTCTTTTTAACTCTAGTCATCTCAGCTTAATAATCCCCAATTTGTATGGGTGGTACCAGCTTTGCGTCAGCTCCATGAAATCACCCGTTCATTCATAAAACAAACCTATCAAAAGCAAGACAAGGTAAGAATATAGCTATATTTGATTATTCTACAATCACTTATAAAACCTTTTATAATAAAACATGAATAAAATTGCTGTGTCTTGTCATTATGTTACATTTTTATAGTTATTAATGCAATTCATTTGTGTTATATAATAATCTTGAGTTTAAAAATCCTTTTGCTTTCATTTCTATGGAGCTTTTCTTTTGATATATACCTAACATTTCTTTTTTATTTCCGTAATTTATTGAAATAATTAAACCAATTTTAAAAGTTAGAATGGTGTTTTAGAAATTTGTTTGAAAAGATTCGAAAGAGTGCTCTCTTTAAAAAGTCTCTGAGAAGCAAAATTTAGCAGAGAAGTTAATTCCCTAGTAAAAGTACATAACCAGATTGGTTTTATTTACTTCTATGTAGAAAATGTGAGTCAAGAAACCATGTTTGCTGTCACTCACCTAGGACTACATGCTAACATAGAAGTATTAAACTGACAAAATAACTGTAAATTCTCATACTGTTTTTTTTTTGGTTTTTTGTTTTTTTTGCCAAGAGCATTATTCAAGACTTGAAGAAAAATTTTGAAATAGTGAAATTGGTAACGGGAAGTTTGATAGCTTGTCATCGACTTGCAGCAGGTGTGGCTGGACCTGGAGGCTTAACTGGGTCAACACTAGTGGATGGTCGATACACTTACCGGGAGGTATGGGCACCATGCTTTTGTTTCATGATTTACAACATTCATTTGGACGTTTTGCACTTGAGCTATAAAAATAATATTTGTTGGATATAACTTTAAAGCAGTAGCATGAGTTATCTTTGTAGAGATGGAACAGTTTTATGTCTTGACTATAATTATTTCAAAAGTTTAGAAAATTGATATTTGTGGGTAAATCAGTAAACCACCTAAGAACTGCATATAATGAAGTAATAAAAATAAACATCTTTATCTTTGATATGAAATACTAATTGTCAATTCTGTGGATAGTTGCTTTTGTTTTTCAATTGATCAGTAGTATTATTTTTAAAAAGTAGGAAAAAACCCTGAACTCACTAGTTGTGAGTTTGTGGTGTTTTACTTTGAGATTGCTGAAATTATATTTTATTGGCATCTAAAGTCAACTGAATTTGTAATAGACGTGAAGTAACTTCCACCACATTGCTCTGTCACCTTATAAACAGATTTTTCACAGTTACTTTACCGTGAATTCTGTGCAAAAGTATTAGGTAAAACTATATATTTTTATTTTAAAGTTTTTTTGTTTTTTTAATTTTGCTTTTAGGTAGGAATGTGCGGAGTTAAATGATTATCATTTCTTTTTGCAGTATTTAGAGGCCCATCTAAAATTTCTGGCATTTTTCTTGCAAGAAGCTACTCTTTATCTGGGTTGGAATCGTGCCAAGGAAATCTGGGAGTGTCTTGTGACGGGCCAGGATGTGTGTGAATTAGATAGAGAGGTAAGAAGATGGTATAGCGGGTAAAGTAAGGCAGAAGCGGGACTTAATATTTCATTTTTTGTGTGTGTCTCACATCTTTAGCTCTAAGCACTTTTTAATTTACTCAGCATACATTTATATGAGTAGGCCAGGAACTGTAAGTGGTGGAAAATATTTTATATAATGTGATATAAATAAATGTTTGAGTACTTTGGTAATTTTGATGCCATTGTAGATAAAACCAAATTAAACCATGTAAGTACAGCAAAGAAATTCTCAGTGTATCTTTTAGGGTTTTTTTTCCATCACATGAAACTAATTTTAAGTTACCAAGAGAAAACTGAGTTTCCTGCAATGATGTTGTACCGCAGAAACACCAGAGAAGAATGAATGCCTAACCAGATTTTTAGAGCTATAATTAAACAGCTGAAAATAGATTAAACCAGTAGCACACCTGTTTTGATCTTTTCTAACAGTAAATCGCAGTTTCCTCCTCTCATTTTACAGAATAATATTAACTACTTTATAGGATTGTTGAAAGAACTAAATATGTAACAGTGTCTGGCACATAGTAAGGCTTATTAATAAACATTTATGGAAAATCCCAAGTATAAAATTCAAAGCAAAGTATGAGTATATATTTTCATTATCAGTGGGAAAGATTGCTAGTAACTTACTGCTTTATTTAGTTCCGACTTCTGACAATTTCATTTTTGAGTGGTATTTTGGCAATATAAATTTTTGGAGAATTAAAAGTAACTTATCTTTATTGTCCCAATTCAGAATATATAAATATATATATTTATTCATGTATATATGTAATGGATTTTAGTTATAGAATTAATATTGGTCTTGATCCACAGATGTGTTTTGAATGGTTTACGAAAGGGCAGCATGATCTCGAGAGTGACGTTCAGCAGCAGCTCTTCAAGGAGAAAATTCTGAAATTGGAGTCATACGAAATCACTATGAATGGTAGGAAAACAACGTAAAATCATTTTTTCAGTCTTTGAAAAATTTTGTTCCTTCCTTTTTTTCTAAACCAACTTCTCAGAAGCAACCAAACAGTTGGGAATATCTTTCTGGTCTTTTCCTTATGTATATAAAGATGTTTATATATAGGGATAAATTTCTTTCTATCTAAATGGTATCTTATAATTAACTTATGCCTGATAACTCAAGTTGCCAAACTGTCTTTTCATGAAGTTGCATACTAAAAAAAGGATTCATTTAAGATAAAAATGTATCAAAGTATAGAAATCTTCCTTTTAGGTGTTTCTTTTAATTGAAATATTTTTTTTCTTGAGGTATAATTCACAAACCATAAAATTAACTTTTTAAATGTATAATTTAGGATATTCACAAAGTTGTGCAACTTTCACCCAGAACATTTCATCATCCCAAAAAGAAATCCTGTACTTATTAGCAGCCACTCCCAATTCTCCCCTACCCTTTGTCTCTAATCTATTTTTTGTCTTTATGGATTACCCTAATCCAGGCATTTCATACAAATGAAATTATACAATATGTTGCCTTTTGTATCTGGCTTTTTTCATTATGTTATAGCATGCTGTTTTCAGGGTTCACTCAGGTTGTAGTATGTATCAGTACTTCATTTTATTTAGGCCGAATAATATTCTATTGCAAGGATATACCACCTTTTGTTTACCTGTTCATCAGTTGGTGGACACTTGGGTTGTTACCACTTTTTGGCCATTATTAACCATGCTGCTATAAACATTCTTGTACGAGTTTTTGTGTGGACATAGGTTTTCATTTCTCTTGGACATACTGTGTTTCCCAAAAAATAAGAGCTAGCCGGAGAAGAAGCCCTAGCATGATTCCTCCAGGATATGGAGGGCACACACCCCTCACATGAGGGTTTTATGACCTGTTTCAGGGAGAAGGGTGCCTTTTCCACAAACTCCTTCAGTTTAAAATATTCAGTATGCCAACGTGCCGTATTTTGGCACCTAAAATCATACGAGGGCTTATTTTCCATCTGGGTCTTATTTTCAGAGAAATAGGGTATACCTAGGAGTAGAATTGCTGTATCATATAATTAACATTTGAGAAACTGCCAGATAGCATAGCTGCACTATTTTATAATCCCACCAGCAAAGTATGAGGGTTTCAGTTTCTCCACATCCTCACTAGTACTTGTTATTGTCTGTCTTTTTTATTTTAGCCATCCTAGTAGGTGTGAAGTAGTATCATGTGGTATTGATTTGCATTTCCCTGAAGACTAATGATATTGAGTATCTGTTCATGTGCTTATTGACCATTTGTATATCTTCTTTAGAGAAATACCAGTTCAAATCTTTTGCCCATTTTTAACTAGGTTATATGTCTTTTTATTGTTGAGTTTTAAGAGGTTTTTGTATATTCTGCATACTAGCTCCTTATCAGACACATACATGATTTGTGTATATTTTGGCTAATTCTATGGGTTGTCTTTTCACTTTCTTGATAGTCCTTTGAAGCACAAAATTTTTAATTTTGATGAAGTCCAATTTACTTATTTTTTCTTTTGCTGCTTGTGCTTTTGGCACCATACCTAAGAAACCATCCCCAATCCAAGTTCTCAAAGATTTGCACCCATGTTTTGCACTAAGCATTTTAGTTTTAGCTCTTCATATGCTTTGAGTTTTTTCACTGATTATCTGTGTTACTTAGAGTCTATGAATTTATCTGACATTCTATAATTTCAGGTTTTAACTTATTTAAGACTTTTTTTGAAAATGTGAATCTCTGTGATCATCGATTGAAAAGACAAGGAGCTCAGTTGGTAAGTACATTATTCTCAAATCTAGATAATTTGGATAATCTAGTAAAACGATATACAGCAAAAAACATGTTATAATTGAGATAAAACAGGATTTTTATTTTTATTTTTTTTAAGAATGTATATCCCCTTGTCTGCTGTTTTCTGCATTGATAACAGCTTCTTGTAGAGTGTACTAGAGGCCCCCTTTTCAGCACAGCTGGCTCCTCAGGTCCCTCTTTGCTTCTTGCTGATCTGGGGCAGCCAGTGGCCTCTTGTGCCTAAGTGAATGTGGAGTAAGATAATTCCATCTAAGCTACCAGCTCCTCAGATCCATCAATCCACACGTTCCTAAAAACAGTAACAAAATCTTTAGTTCTGGGGTTTTAGTGGCAGGGATTTAGGGAGAAAAATTTAGGAACAGGAAATGAAGAAGCAGGAAAATGAGGATCTATAGAAGGTATACAGATAATTTTTATATTTACATGTATGTATGTATGTATACCTTAAAAAAGAAAGGCAAAACTTAACTCTTTTTTCCGAGACTGTTTCATTTATGACATGGCTTCCTGGGTGGTAAAAGTTTTTACAAGATCTTTTAAGCCCTTGGGAAGACTGAATTGAGCCCCAAGGATTAGTAACTACTTCTAGCTTGTCTCCATTTCCTTTTGAAGAAAGCTCCTGAAGATGGTACCCATCTCACTCCTGTGCTATTTCTGCATTAATAGCTCGTCTGGGTAGACAGCTAGTTTAGGTATAAGGGTATCTGGAGAAAAAGCTCCTTATCTATCCGGGTTTCGTTGGATGTTGCTCAGTGTTTCTGTGGTTGGTTGTGGGTTTTGTTTGTTTGTTTGTTTGTTGTTTTTGGTTTGGTTTTTTTTTGTTTGTTTTATTAGTTTCAGGTGTGCAAAACAATGTAATAGTTATACATTTCATCCCTCACAAAGTGACAACCCTCTGCCCCCCCCAACATCATACATATGTATTAAATTCCATTGACTTCACTCCCCACACTATACTCCATATCCCATGACTATATATATATATATTAAATTATAGTTAATGTTCATTATTATTCAGCTTCAGGTGTACACTGCAGTGGTCAGGCCTCTACACCATGCATGAAGTGGTCTCCCTAATAAGACATATGTCTACCTGACACCCTACAAAACATTTACAGCATTATTGATTATATTTCCCAAACTGTCTTTCATATCCCTGTGGCAATGTTGTAATGTGGTTGGTTGTTTTTTGTTTTAAAATTCCATATTGGTACAATAGTATTCTCATATAGCTTGGTTTTTGCAGCCTTAATTCATATTGAACTGAAGAGGTATAGACTTAACAATGTAACAGAAAGTAATTGCAGTTTTATGACCTTGGTGTGCTATATCATTTTTTTTTCTTTTGAACAGTATGTAGAAAAGCTGGAATTGATAGGAATGGATTTCATTTGGAAAATAGCCATGGAATCACCTGATGAAGAAATTGCAAATGAAGCTATTCAGTTAATCATAAACTATAGTTACATTAATCTAAATCCTAGGTTAAAAAAGGTAGGTATCCAAGGGAAAAAGTTACTCATGCACAAAATGGCAGAAAATTATATATTTGTTATTTATAAGTTGGCATGCCTGAAGATTGGCTTCTTTATTTTGACATTTTGTCCTTAATGATTACAGCCAAATGCCAGACTAATTTTAATTTCCATATACCTCTTACTTTTAGGATTCTGTATCATTACATAAGAAATTCATTGCTGATTGCTACACAAGATTAGAAGTGAGTAGCAGATTTTATTTAACCTGTTTTTGAAATAAATGCTTTGGATTTTTCCTTTATTATAAAAGGAAATTTTATATTTTGAGGTCATGTTAATGTTGATATTTTTAGCTGGATCCTAGTGAAGAATTTTGAAGCATATCATATTGTACCAATTTGTGAACAGTCATTTGCCTCAATTCCCCCAATAGAGAAGTATACTTTATAGGAAATTGTTCCTTCTCCTCCACCACCGCTCTTCCCTGCTTTACCCATCCTCCCTTGCGGGCATATAGGGACTGTCTTCAGAAAACAGGTCTACTCTGCATTTCCAGTAGATCCTTTTTCTCCTTTTTATTTTTTGGTCCAGGAATTTTATACAAGCACTTGCTGCTTTTCCCATCCTCCCTCACGCTTCCATATAGTGTCTATTATAAATGATATTAAAGGCCACCACAGGGCACTCAGTAGTAGGCATTTGGTTTTCTTTGTCCATTAGAAGACTGCTGTGTAATACATCTCACATATATTTCCAGGGCCTTGTTTCCAGCATGATGGTTAAAGCATTAAACATTCATTTTCTTTCTTAATTTGTGCTTATTTGTTTTACATATAACAAAAAGTATTCCAAAAACATAAAATGCTACTGCCTCCAAATGTCAGTAACTTAGACATTTTGGTGATGAATATGTGCTGGAATCTGTATAGGATTTCCTGTCATGACTTCCATCCAAATCAGTCATCATAAAAAACATTTAAAGTATTTAAGTACCCCTAAATGAAGTACCATCTAAGTGTGAACATACGTAGAACAGTAGTTCTCAACTGGAACTTATTTTTCCTCCCACAGATAATTTGGCAGTGTCTGGAGACCTCTTAGGTTGTCACAGTTAGAGGGGTCCTACTGTGAGTAGAGGTCAGGGATGCTGTTAAACATCCTACAATGCCTAGAACAGTCCTCCATGACAAAAAAGTTTCCAGCCCCAAATGTCAATAGAGCTGAGGTTAAGAAACCCTGATGTAGAATGATCATTTCTTATTTTATAGGCAGCCAGTTCAGCACTTGGTGGCCCCACTCTAACACATGCTGTGACCAGAGCAACAAAAATGCTTACAGCAACTGCCATGCCAACTGTAGCAACATCAGTTCAGTCTCCATATAGGTAAGTGATTGCAGAAGTTACAGCAAATACACAATGCATAAATATATATCAGTTTAAAAAAATAATTGGCATCATTCTACCTGTAGAGATCTCTCAATTGTTTATTTCCTCATTTTATTTCATAACTTTTGCAAACAGTCATATCCTGAGAAACTATATGTTGCCTATTATACATCCCTAAATATGTATCTCTTAAAGATTTGTCGGTCCTCTTCATAACCACCCAAGTATTGCTCTGCTCTGACCCCTCTATCTAATAGATAAGTTTTGTTGTTGTTTTTATTCATTTTA